GAGAAAATATAATTTTTATAACTGCAAGCACGTTCTTACTCCTTTTGATCCTCATGTGCGTTTATTTCCTATTGGAAATGATGAGGATGTAATTAATCAAAAGGAATATGCTAGTGTGTTATACGACTGACTGTACTAGACTTGACATTGCCTATGCAGTTGGAGTACTTAGCAGGTTTACTAGCAAGCCTGACAATGACAACTGGCTAGCCATTGAGCGTATTATGAAAAATTTATCTGGTACCATAAAATATGGCTTGTTTTATAATAAGTATCTTGCAGTACTTGAAGGTTACAGTGATGCCGATTGGAATACCTTGTCAGGTGATTCATTATCAACCACTGGTTACTTATTTACATTGGGAGATGGTGCTATAAGTTGGAAATCAAAAAAAAAAAAAACCATTATTGCTAATTCAACAATGGAGGCTGAGTTTATTGCTTTAGCTACAGCTAGTGAAGAAGCAAATTGGTTAAGAGATTTGTTAAATGAAATCTCTTGTTGGAAAAAACCGATTCCACATATATTAATTCATTGTGATAGCACCGCAGCAATTGGTCGAGTTAATAACCGTTATAATAACGATAAATCCAGACCTATCAGAAGAAAACACAGTACCGTGAGATCTTATATGAATAATGGTATCATAAATGTGGATTATATTAAATCCGGTGATAATCTTGCAGATCCATTAACTAAGGCCTTAGCAAGAGATAGAGTCTGGAATGCATCGAGGGGGATGGGGTTGAAGCCCATTGAATATAGCAGGAGCCATGTATGAGGATACTAAACCCAGGGACCAGAGATCCTGTAACTGGGTTCAATGAGAAAAACGATCATATGATGGCCGTGAGAAATGCACTAAATTACTTTTTTCCCATCCTTATGATGTAAGTGCATTTATCCTGTAACGTTGTAGAGGCTGAGTTATTAAAAAAAACTCTTAATGAATTTTTGTAGCTTTTGTTGAGTGGGGTGTCATAGTTACAGGAGCACCCTTGACAAAATTCACCTATGTGAGTGTGGTAGTAGGGTCGCTACCTATGAGATTTGGGCTAATTCTCAAACACACTCATGAATCCTGGGATCGCACAAGGCCGTAATGTGCTAGCTTTTAAAGCTTTTGTGAACACCTGGAATATTATGCGTGTGCAATAATTATTTATTTCCCTTAAGTAGTCATAGTTCAATGCTGAGCATACTATTGGCTCTGGAGTAGATATTATTGCTTCACTAATGGAGGTTCAATGCAGAGCACACCTACCATGATGCATAATATCCTTATTTGCCTAATAATCTCAGTTTTTGTTACCTGTAATATTAAAATAGGTGGGGAAATGTTAGCAGATATTTTAATATTATAATGTGTCATAGGTTGTTTATCTTTTCTTTTCTACCTAGTTTGCTTCCCATTCTAGTCTCCAAGACTTCCTAAATAAGTCTTCCTAGTCTTCTCCAAGTCTTCCCATTCCTATCCATTCCAAGACTTCCAAGGTAAGCCATCCAAGGTCTTGGTCAAGTCCACCAATTCTTATCCACCAAGAACCTTGTCTAAGAAGTTTTCATTTCTATATATATTGAACTTATGTCATATCTTAGAATATACGAGAGAAGAAGTTTCGGTTGTGTTGTTATGCCTTGAGTGAGATTATCAGACAAATAAAAAGGGTGTGTGTGATAAAGCTTTGGGTTCAACCAATTGTGCAGTATTGGTGAACCATACGACTTAGTCGGGCTGTTGTATCCTGGGGGGAACAAGTCAAGGTTTTTTCTGCTGCACCGACGTGAGGCTTTGCCTAACCGCAGAGGGCTTGAATCTCCTTAAAGAGAGCGAATTTCCCACGCCTCAGCCCTTTCAATAATTATTGTAATTTCTATTATTTGTATTTTTTAGTATTTTATTTGTAATTATCACCAACACAAACTAATTAATAACAAGTTTCAAAGGTGCAATAGAGGACCAAAGCCACCCTTTCATGGTCAATGGTGTTAATAAATCACCAAATTCATCATTTGAAGGCCTTGCGGCAAAATTTTGAAGGATCAAAATCACCCTTGGAAGGTTGAAGGCATTGACAGAAGACGAAGGTCATCTGTCGAAGACTCACAACCAAGTTTCAAGGGACCAAAGCCTTCCTTCGAAGGTCAAGGGCAATGCTAGAGGGCCAAACTGTTGCTTCAAAAGTATCACCATACAATTTAACAGGAACTTCAAGGGAGACATATAGAGCTTCGAAGGTGGGTTTTCAAAACTAACCTGTGTTCTTCATGTATGCGACTTGACTCAACTTCACAGTAATACTACCTTGCATTCTTCAAAGCATTTGAAGCATCACCATACAATTTTTTAATGAACTAATTCTTCACTCTTCAACAATGCATCATATGTCATGGAACTTCGTATTTGCAGGCAATTTCAAATTCATTTTAGGCCAAATTAGGAACACTTGGCCAATCGATTCCACACAAACATATGTCTAGAAACATAAACATGTGACCTTGGAAGTGTAAACCACAGACAAATACTTTTGCATGTAAAAATGCATTTTTTGGTGGCCATTATTTGAATAAATTATATTCATACATTCACCATTCTTGACCAATGCTCTCTTAGGCTTTCAAATTAAAGCCATAAATGTTGGGTTGATAAAACAATTAGCCATTTTTAGCTAAGTTCTACCTTTCAAACGGTTAAATTATTTTTTAATGCATCAAACTCATTGGAACAATGCTTGAAGAGATTATTAGCCATTTCATCAAAATTTTGATGTGGCTTGCAAATCAAAAATAAATTTTGAACACCGAAAGTCATGATATAATATGGCATTGAAAATTCAAATATTTTGACATTTGCAACAATATCAAATATTTTTAAGTGTATAATCTAATAAATTTTTCATTTGTTTCATAACTTTTTCACTCATTTTAAAACATATATTTTTTTAAAATCAATTTTAAAATGATTGGGTTTCTTTTAAGTTCAAATCTAAATTTGAAAAGACTTGTTAGGCTTGTCAGACCTATCACAGATTCCGTTTCGATCATCCAAACTGTTCATTTTGTAGAGTTTACGAAAAAAAATTAAGTCAATTCGATAATCGTAATCTTTTCATTTTATTACATATTTGTCTTCAAAAATTTTGACAACAAACAAGTATATTTTTTAAAAGAGACATTTATTTATAAATCCCTCGCTCACTTATGTTCCACTTAGGTCTCGTTTGGGGACAGGCTAATTTAGTAACTTTTTGATTATTTGGCTAAAATATGAGCTAAAAAAAACTAGTATGTTTGGGATGACTTTTTGACTTTTTATGAAAAGATGTGCAAAAAGTAGAGAGAAAAGAGAATCTTTGACTTTTTGGTATGTGTTGTTGGCTTTTTGGCTAATTTAGTAACTTTTTGACTTTTTGACTAAAATGGAGGGTTCCCAAACGAGACCTTAGTCCAAAATATTTTTTTATGTTCCAATAAATTCAATAGGTGACATATTTAACAAAATACTTCTAATAATAATAGAGTGAAGTGCGTATTGATATTTATGTTGACAGTGTGAATGTTCCACAATAGAAACATTTAAACTATCAAATTTATTTAATGTGAATATTCACATTATGGAACACTCAAAAGAAAATAGTGCACATCAAGTTGCTAAGGGTTTAAAAAATATTTGTAAGGGTAAAATTTTCATAAAATACCTTAAATATGATAATTAGGATTTGATTGTTCAAATGTCCAAAATAATAGGATTTACTGGAATACAAGAATATATTATAGATTAATTGGGATACAAAAAAAGATTTTCTAATAAATTCTCTTTTTTAAAATAGACCATCTATTATTTTAAAGATAAATACGATAATATAAAAAAAATTGAAATTATTAATTTAATTTTTTTATAAATAATATATATGATTTTTTTTCATAAATGGAACCATTTAAATGATTGAAATAAGACCGTAGTTGTGTCACAAGCCCATCAAGTTACCTAATATTAAAATTTAAATTTGAGACAACGTCAACTCTTTTTAAACAAAGTATGTTTGTATAAATGTCTATAAATTATTGTTTGTCTATATTTCTCATAAAAAAAAAAATAATAATCTATAGTCCATTTGAGTCTTTTTTTATTTTTAAAAAAATAAAAAATAAAAAAAATTAAGAGTATAACCATAAATTAATATGTCCACAGCAGAAGCTGATAATCAGAAGTAAGGGGTGAGCAGCTTGTCAGAATCAGCTTTTTTGAGTTAAAATAAACTGTTAGAATCAGAAACTGTTTGAAATAAGTTTAACCAAACAATCCAAAATAACTTTTTTAAAGCTAAAAATCATAAATTAAGTCTAAAAAACTAAAACAAACACCCCCCAATGAGCAATGTTTCCCACTTTTGTAGTTATGCAATTAAGACAAGCAAACGCCCAACCAGCTCAGTCCTCAGTGTCTCATTTAATAAACTCAACTAACTCCGGCTTTTTCAATTCTCCCCTCTCTCCTCATTCAACTTACCAACGACTCTGCCCTATTTGATGGAGCTTTTTTCTAAGCCTTTTAGTTTGTTCACTACAATTTGAGTTTTAAAAAAAAAAAAAAAAAAATTGACATGTTTTTTTGATTTTTTATCCAAAAAAAATAAAAATACAAAAAATAGAGAAAAAAATAAAATCTTGACATTTTTATATAATTTATTGATTTTTTAGTGACATTTTGACTTTTAAATTAAAACATAAAATTGCCAAAGGAAACTTAAAAATTGATAATAAAAAAAGAAAAGTTGAAAGTATAATTTTCTCAGCTTTTTAGATAATTAACATTTTTTAATTTATTTAAATTATTTTTATATAATAAGTTATCTACAAAAATTATATTAAATAATCTAAAATAAACTCTCAAATTAAAATAAATTACAATCAACTTGTAAAAACAGTAACGACCAGCCCCGGCCTCCGCTTATAAATACACAAACATCACTGCAAGCAGCATTCGTATTCCAATCTCTCTATCATTTTTTCATCTCTCTCTCTCTCTCTCTCTCTCTCTCTCTCTCTGTGAATTCTTGTGAGAATGCCCACACAAGTAAATAGGCGAGTGAATGTTCACTCAAAACTAACGGTGGTATCCAGTAGGCCAAGCGGGCCGGGTAAGACCGACCCGTTTACCGCAATGGACCACGCCATGGGTCTGCACACCCTCCACGTCGTCTTCTACTACAGAACCAACCCCTTCTTCGACTCGGACCTCACAAATCTAAGGGTCTCGCTGGCGGAGCTCCTGTGCTTGTACCCGCGGGTCACGGGTCGGTTGGCCAGAGGTAAGGACGGTAACTGGGTGGTGAAATGCAACGATGCTGGAGTCAGAATGTTGAGGGCTAAGGTGAAGACCACACTTGATGAGTGGCTGAGATCTGCTGATGAGTGTGAGGAGAGAGATCTGACGGTCTGGGAGGACATGCCCGATGATCCAAGTATATGGTCACCCTTCTACATCCAGGTGCATTGAGAATAAATAAACCATACTAGTATACTTGGCCTTTGTTTTTATCATTTTCAATTACCACCTCATATCATATCATTTGACCTTTGAATATCTATCAATAATGCAAAGCAAACACTCAACTTAGGCGCAAACACTCATGTGTTGAAACCCACAAGACAACATCATACATGGTTAGCTACATAGCTCATAAAAATAAAAAATAAAAAAAGGACAATTACCTCACACAGTTGGGTTAATTATTGATGTTATAATGTTTTTCATTTTTGGAGAATAAGTTTTACTGACACGATGTCAGTGTAATTCTAAAAAAAAATAAAAATACTGATTCATTTACTAACTGCTCAAATTAAATACTTGCATGAATTATTTATAATTTGCCTATATATATATATATAACTGTTGCGAAATTTCCACCCTATGACTCAGTAAAAAAGTATAAAATTATTCTTTAATTATAAAATATTTATGATAGTGTACCATAATCTTTTCCATAACCATTACATGTTTCAAGCACACCTATATCGGCATGAACACCTTCTACTTAGCAATTACATCCATTGTGACGGAGGGTGCCGTGTGGGGTGCTCACCGATTTTTAACGGTTTGATTTGCGGTTTAAATTTGGATATATATTTGTAGTTTGAAAAAAATTGAACCCGTAATTGTTCGTAGTGTAGATTGCAATTTTTACGGATAGGGTTCACGAATGCGTGGGCGGTTTGGGATTGGTCTTTTCGCTTAAAAATTTGTTTTTGAACTTGTTTTTCTCCATTTTTTAAGTATTCTTTTGCGCTTTTTTTTTCTCATTTTTTAAATATTATTTTGGGTCATAAAATTACATATTTCTTATCATGAAATCATTATTTTTCAAATGATTTATCCCAAATAAATTACGACCTATCTATCCAATTTACTCCAAGAATGAAACATATCATAAGCACAGATCAGGATCAGTCAATTGACTCATATTCACTTTGCAGAAAATGTATAAGTTAAACAAAACTCATAGTTGTTTGAATAAAAATGTAACATATATCTCCTCCGAAAAATTAATTTTAGGATTTGCTAAACTCACTATCTAGTGAAAAACAACAAGCATAACCATGAATAAACTTTTTTACTCATTTTGTTACAAGTTACTAGCATTTGTTGAGTTTCCACACTTGCAAAGCAAAACAAGTTGCAAAACATTTGTTTACTTACAAGTGAGTGAGAAAAGAGAAGATTAGGGTTAAGGTTAACTTACAAAAAAATTTGACGGTCCAGATTTTTTTTTCAAAAATGATATATACATGGGGCGAGTGAGTGTGGGGGCAAATAAAAATCGCAACCGGCTTGCAACCCGTAAAACAGGAAAATCCTAACTTGTATCCGACCCTAATGATTATGCGAAACAATACAGTTCGAGTTGAGTAGTTTTCGCAAGTTGAATAACTCTATACCTAGTCCAAGTGCCAAGTAAAATGATAATAAGACATATAATGTAGTACTTTTAGAGACAATTATCTCATAGTGGTGTTAGAAAAAAAAAATTATAAATTAATACAAAAAGTATGATATTAATTATTAATATTTATAATATTTTTTATTTTTTGATAAATATGTTTTACTGATACATGTTTTACTGATACCATCTCAGTATAATTCTTCTTCTTTTTTTTTTTTTTTGTTGCATATTATAGAACATATATATTTTTTTTAAATAAATAATTCCGTTTTGTTGGATTTTTTTGGGTTCAAAACTTGTCTCCCTCCAATTCTACCATCATGTTGTTGGGGCTTAAAAACAAAAAAGTCATAATTTGTTCTTAGGCTTATTTTGAAAGGTAGATTAGAAGTTGATTTTTTTAGTCTTTTTTAATTTGTTTTGAGAAAACATACAAAAAAAAAAATAAAAATGATAATATAATCTAAAAGTTTCAAAAAATCAACTTTTACCTCTATTGTCAAAATAAGCCTTAGGATGAATTTAAGTAGCTTCTCAGGTGGAATTTTATGAATTAAAACAATGCATCCATCACTTTTCTCTTTTAAATATGAAGAAGTTATTAGTTGGCTCAGGAACAGTATTATGTGACATTTTATATATATATTGTGATTAATAAAGGAAGTGAAATTTATAATTTTATGTTGAATAATTAAAAAATAGGGAAGAATATAAAAATTTGTGACCAATTTGAGATGTAGCCACGTGATGCCAGGGCATTCCATATGTATGATGTGAAACAACACTCCAAAATTACCAAATGACTTCTCGTCAAGGGACCACGCTGCAAGGCCATCATGATTCACTCGTTTTATTTTAGGAAGGAAATAAATTGATTTAGGCCCGTTTGGGACTTATTTTTTTAGTCAAAAAGTTACCTTTTTAGTCAAAAAAACTAACAACTCATATCAAAAAGTCAAAGATTTTCTTTTCTCTCTACTTTTTGCACATCTTTTCGTAATTAGTCAAAAAGTCATCCTAAACATATAAGTTTTTTTTACCTACTTTTTTAGCCAAATAACCAAAAAGTTACTAAATTAGCCTGTTCCCAAACGAGACCTTAATATTAGAAAATACTAAAAGTTTCAAATATTTTACATATTTGGTAAAATATGTAAGATCCATAGATATGGACACTTATGTAAGATCCATTCCATATGAAATATTTGGTAAAATATTTAGTAAAAATTTTGATATTCCTAGCATTACCCTTAAATATTTGTAATCAAAAAATTATTTTTAAAATTATATTTTTTTTTCAAGACACATTAAAATTATATAGTTACTATTATGATTCTAATATATATATATATATATATATATTTATAAATAATTTATACATAAAAAATTAAATAAAAATAAATAATGTGTTGAACCCCAAAGTCCAACAAAATAGGCCGAGGGAGATGGCTTCTCACTTGGGCCCATTTTGGGGCTTGCTTTCAAAAAAAAAAAATATTGATAGTGTACTTACAAAAAATACTTAGCCTATTTCTTTTGGGGAAAAAAAATTATGATTATGATTATCAGATTAATTTAATTTTTTTACATGAATAATTTACAAACAGTCTTAAAAAATTAACAAAAAATATCATATCATCATAGTAGAGTCAGTAAGGGCCCCATACACTTATTGGATTTACATTAAGGCCTCGTTTGGGAACAGGCTAATTTAGTAATTTTTTGGTTATTTGGCTAAAATATGAGCTAAAAAAAATTAGTATTTTTGGGATGACTTTTTAGCTTTTTACGAAAAGATGTGCAAAAAGTAGAGAGAAAAGAGAATCTTTGACTTTTTGGTATGGGTTGTTGACTTTTTGATTTTTTTAATGACTTTTTAACTAAACGGGTCGCTTCCCAAACGAGGCCTAAGTCTAGGGATTAAAACTTTTATTTCCAGATTTGTATCAAGAATGAGAGTATGTGGTGGAGATTGAAATTGTGTATTGTAAAGTGCATGTATAGAATGAAGCTGAATTACATATTGATGTTTTTTATGTAATTTTTGAATAAAATTTCAGGGTCTATAGTAGTAGTGTTGGGGATAATTTGCTCCTTCATCAATATTCCCTAATGCGATAGACTTTATTTGCCTGTCCATTTCATAGGGTGTAGTAAATCCCAAACAATTAATCAATTGACCTGTATTTAGGTATCATTTTTTAGTATGATATATTGCCTAAACCCTAATAACAAAAATCTCATTAACTTGGCAGATGAATGATTTTGAAGGAGGGGGACTAGCAATTGGACTGAGCTGCACTCACATGCATGCAGATCCAACGTCTGTCACCATGCTTCTCAAATCATGGACTGAGCTTCACAGAGGCCACCCCATCTCTCACCCTCCAATCTTCCACCTCCCTCCACTCCATCTCCATGACAAATCTTCTCCAAACACAAACTCAAAATACTATGCAACCAAGTCCAAAACTGAAACTCCTGCTGTGAAAATGGCTACAATTACATTTAAATTTTCAAACTCCGTGATCAAACAATGCCTATCCAAAGTCCATGATAAGTGCCCTAATGCCACTCCTTTTGATGTCCTAGCAGCAATGTTTTGGACACGGATTGCAAGATTGAAGTCACCTCCACATAACAACCAGACACAAACTCTCTCTATATGTATTGACTTTAGGACACTCAAGCCTGCGCCTGTCCCTTTTGGGTATTTTGGCAATGCATTTCATTTCTCCCAACTATCATTAGACTCCGAGGTAGTGAATAATGGTGGGTTAGGAGAGGTTGTGGGAATAGTGCACCACCACGCAGCTGGGCTGAAGGAAGAGGAGTTTTGGTCGGATATAGATTGGTTTGAAAATAGGAAAGGAGAGACTGGGAAGTATGCACCGCCTTTTAGGATGTATGGTCCTGAACTAACTTGTGTTAGCTTGGAATTTGAACACATGAACAATACTTGCCAGAAGCCATTGATGTATGAAGCCATGTTCAAGGATGATGAGAAGCCAGTTCACGTGTCGTATCGCGTTGGAAATGTGGAAGGTGAAGGTTGATTGTGGTTATGCTTCGTCTTCATCGGAGAGGGGCTTGGTCGAGATGGTGACATTGCCGGAGGAGCAGATTGATGGGCTACGTGCTGATCCAGCTATATTGGACTTGAAGCCAACCATGCTCTCATAAATGGGAGAACATAACGCATTTATAATTGTTTAATGATGGAATTGTCATCCAATTTGTTTTCAGTGAAGTTTTTTTAGGTTGCTTGATTAGAATAATTCTTATAAATTAAGTTTGGACATTGAATTTGTCTGGTCATGGTTATCAAATTTCTGATTTCAATCTTAGGGTCATGATCTTATGATTCATAATTCTTATAAATTAAGTTTGGGCATTGAATTTGTCTGGTCATGGTTATCAAATTCCTGATTTCAATCTTAGGGTCTTATGATCTTATGATTCACTTGAGCACAGTTAATCCAATTTATGTAAAATTCTTTACATGTAAAATCTTTCGATCTTAGTAATGTAAAATCTTTCGATCTTAGTAATTGAATCTTATAGGATTGTGAAAACTTGATATAAATATGAGATAATTTATAAGTCTTGTTTTTTTATTATATGACTAAATACTATTTAAAGTTGTTTATGTAGATTCTGATTTTAACATCTTTCATCATGTATTTGCAGAATTTGTGGTGCTACAAAAAGTAAAAATAAAAATAAATAAAAATTATGAGGAATGTGACTAAAAATTCAACAAATATAAAGAACTCTGTTGGTTTGAGGGGACACGTGCAAGCCGGTGGCGTTCCTTAATATATGTGTATGTTTAGGATGTGATGGGTAAAAATTGATTTTTTGACTTTTTGACCGCCTTTTTACTGATTGATAATTAAACATTGGTTTTTGACTCTCGTTTTACTGGGTAAAAGTTTCTGTTACATATTGAACTTTAAGCCTCTGTTTGAGAAGTAGGTTGGTTTTTTAGCTTTTTAATTTTTTTGACTATTTTAGTCTGGGCTTAAAAGTTTGGTTTGGGAAGGGTTTTTTGGCTTTTTGACTTTTTTAAGTTTTTTTGTGAGAGAAGAATGTAATGATTATGGGTTGGATGTGATATTTTGTTTGTTATGGCTAAAATAGCCTATTTTATTTTTTGTGGCTAAAACAGCCAAAAAAGCCCAAACCATGGCTTCCCAAAATTGAAAATTTGAAGTGAATTGTGATTAGATTAAGATTAATTGTATTAATTTTTAAATAATTAAAATTAATAATCTAAATCATTTAGTATATACGAATGTGATTTAGATTATTGCTTTAAAATCAATAAATCGACTTAAACGATTTTTACGTGAAAAAATCACAATTGGAGCACCTCTAATTGTGATTAAAAAACTATGGGCGAAACGTCACTAATTAATCCACTATGAAAGAAAGAAAGAATACAAATTTACCGAAACAAATTACCCAAACGCAACCAATTTGTCTTCAACAATTTGTATCTCTTTCATCGCAATCTTCGTCTCGGAATTGATTAGATTGATGTTGTATCCACAACATCCACGTCGAATCAACAATTGCGTAAAATTTCAAACTCCTTCAAATACTTCATGCTTGAATCTTCGGATTCCATTGAAAAAGAACACTCTTGAAGTAGAACACTCAAACAACTCTTTGATAGATACTTGTCAAACCATGTGAGTTTAATACCCACTCAATCATCAAAGAAAACTAGCCCCACTCGAGCGCATGACTTGCTGCTCGAGCGGTGTCACTAAAACGCATGTGACTGAGCAGGGTCTACGCTTGAGTGCTGAAACTTATGCTCGAGCGTAAAATCACACTTCACAGCATTTTTGCAGTCAAGCCAAAGTACTGCAAAGGTGAAAACTCCGCTCGAGCGCAACTTTCCCCACTCGAGCGAGAAAACCAAAAACAGAGGAAAAAAACAACTCAATTAAACTAAGCTTGTTCGTGGAATTGACAATAAGAAGGGAGCTAACAAAAATAAATCTCATTTATCAATCCCTGAAAATTAATCAATTGTTTGTCCAATCCTTTAAGTGAAATTTTCAAAAATGATCAAGCGTTTTATTTGTGATAATTTTTGCCCATTAGGCAGGGTGGGGTGGACAAGTCCTCTAGTTCTCAGTTGATGTGTACGTGTTATAATTTACAGTTAAAAGTCTAAAGCGATTTATGCTTAAACAGATGTTATGTTAAACTCGTGTGAATATGTGGTTGTTATCTATGAGTAATCTCATCAATCTTATTTATTTATTTTTATCAACGATCTGCATTTAGAATTTATAAAAATAAATTGCACATACCACCAAAGTGAAACTTAATTTGAATCCACCATTTCAACTGGACTAGACTGCATGATGATAGGCTTGATGATCATAAAATTGCATTCTATACTATTCTCTCCCCCTTTTCCTAAACCTTACAATTCTTAGATCAAATGGTTTAGCTTTCATTAATTACCAAGTGGTTCAGGTGTGCAATGAAGTAAGAAAATCAACAATACTGGATAACCAATCATCCATCATAAATACTTCCTTTTTTTGGTCTGTCAATCTACCAGAAAGTATCAGCCACTCCCCTTCAAATATGGTCTTGAGCATTCTGTTCTTGGAACAATGCTGCTGTACTAAAATTTTTGTTAAAAGTATATATGTCCAAACATTATTGGATGTCCAAGTATCATTGCACTCTGTTTGATTTAATAATTTTTAAAAGTAGTTTTCAAGTTTTTAATTTGTATTTGTTTTTATTTTTTAGTGATTTTACAATATTTTAATCAATATTTTAATTATTTTTTAGATACACTTAATTTAGATACATTTAAAAAGTATAAAATTTGTCAAAAAATCTTTTAAAAATTGGGAAAATTTCATTTCAGGGTAAGCTTTAAGGAAAAAAAAAAAAAAAAAACAAACAAACAAACAAATATAAGTGATAAAATTTATATTCATGATTAATTAAATTCATTTTTGCTTTTTCTATCCATCTTGTGTAAACAAATCTAAATTTTTTTTTTGAAAAAATTGAAAAAAAAATCAATATAAGCTTAAAAAGTCCACTATTTTTTGCTATTTTTTGTCTTTTCTTTTTTTTGAAAATTTTATAATTATATAATTTTTTGATTTATCTCATTGAACTAAATTTAGAAGGCTACAATTCTTTTTAAAAAATTTAAAACAAATTTACTAAAGACGAAAATATGCCCCAAAAAACATTACAAGGGGCATTTGTGTTGGAGTATTAGAAGATAATGTGTTAGATGTTAGCTTGTAAATAAAATAAAGCATTACTCCAAGGGGGTTGCTCTCACATATCAATCACAGTTATAGCATTAGATTAAGACCAAGTACGAAGGAATATTCCATAATTTTCCTTAATTCAAGGGGTACATTCTAGGAATTTAACATAGATCTTGGCATCTTATTCATCATCTTGCATTTCACAATTACTTGGTAACAAAAGCAGACTAACATCACAATTCTAATCAGAGGCATCATCCAATATAGCAAAGAAGATTAATAGAAGAGAACACAACAAAGGCAACATCAAATTCCACCAGAAGATCACTTGGAATCCTTTGGAAGTGGCGTATCTGAAAACTCATACGAGACCCTAGCAAAAAGTCCATGTATTCTAACCCCTGCCACCTCATTGACAGGCACTGTGTCAGAAATCTCTTTTAGATATTCTATATCGAGCTTCACTCTCACTGCACCGATATTCTCATCAAGATTTTTCATCTTAGTCGTTCCTAAAAATGTACAATGAGAGAAAAGATAACTTAGTCACCCAACAGAAGGCAAGCTAATAAGATCTAGTCAACAGCATTTCCAGGCTAGAAGAATAGTAAATACTTTCATGTAAGTATTGATACGCCAAATGAACATATCAATAGGTGTGGGCAGTACATGCAAAGACTAGCATTCTTTAGATAGTGCATGTCCTTGCCGGTTTTCTTGTTCAATTGACTAATCAAACCAAAGGGTTCTGTTCACACAACTTTGGACAAATCAACGAAGAAACAATACAAGGGTCTATAAATTGAAACTTGTCTATTCTATGTAACGAAACTTTGAACATAGGTGCACTCATGGCCCTGGTCACTCAGTTTGAGTTGCATATTGAAACAATTGGTTGACTGTGAACAGAGGTTGAATGTGCATTCACATTGACATCTTTGATGCAATTCTACCGCGATAAAAAAGAACGCCATTGAGGAGACATAATTAAAAGCTATGAATTATATCTAGATATAATTAAGTCTTTTGATCCTTAACTTGCCAACATATTCACAAGAAGTCATGGTTAGCTGAGAGGATATAGTAGAAGGTGCAGATGAAAATGAAGTTTGAGTCCTATGTTTGTTGTGATGGTGTAACTAGGAAGATTAAAACAATGCCGCAATCTGCTGAGTAGTCATGTAATTGACTCCAACAAAGGTCCAAGAGCTGGATGCAGGGTGCACTGCAGATTAGGTCTTCATGCTTACAACAGCTGGGATCCGGAAGTCCTCATCTACTAGACAGGCAGCAGTTATCAGTAATTTTCTTCCCTGTACTAAATCTGGTTTCTAGCACATAACTGAAATTAAAATGGAAAGCCTTCTTTTCAACTGTCAAGGCATTTGCAGCCTCATTGTTTCATATCAATGAAGTTTCTATTTGTCTATTCACTTCTCGTTTTTGATGGATTTATAAATAAATAAATAATAATACGTTACTACTGATTAAGCAAAATTTTGATGAGTTGCTAAGCTGGAATAGGTACCACATCATCTCCTTGATGAAGAACCCAAGTAAGCGCAACTTGGATAGGGGTGCATCCATGCTTTTTAGCTAATGCTTCTATTCGAGTATAAAAGATCTTGTTCTGCTCTAAATTCTGTCCTGTAAACCTAGGATTCAATTGCTGATAGAAATTTTTTAAAAGTCAATCATTTATTCTTTTTGTCTAATTCATTGGGGAAAAAAAAGGGAAAAAAAAAATGGAAATCTCCAAATGAATCTTAGATAACAAAGATACTT